ACCTGTACAGCATCAATTACCTGCACTTCGGAGAACCAAAGTCCTGGTAAAGTCAGCCCGCAGTTGGCACTGGTGCCTCTCAGGATGGAGCAGGGCATCTCAGTTTTCATGTGCCTAGGAAACGCCTCCAGATCTTGTTAAAATGCAGACTCTGGTTCTGTAGGCTTGGGGTAGGATTGGCATTTTACATTTTAAACAGACTCTGAAGTCATGAGATGCTGTTGGAGCTTGGGTGCTCAGACTGCCTTTTGAGTAGCTGGCTTTAGAGGGCAGAGCACTTAATACCATTGTATGAAAGCATTAAATTGGCAAAGTGACTGAGAGCCACAGAGGCTATTCCAGGCTATCCCACTGCTTTCTAATTTCTTTTTCTGAGCAGGCCTGAGGCATTTCTTAAAGGCAGACTTCCAAGACTGGAGTCACTCCTTCAGCTGATAGAAAGCCTCCTTGTCCTCATGGAAAAAATATTTGGTGAGCAGCAGTGTGTGCTTAACACGAGGGGATGCAAGGCTACTCGGCACATGCTTCCTGCCCTCCAGGATGTTCTCAGCCTAGTTGGGGAGACAAAGATTTGTTCTCTCTTCTCTCCCTGTGCTGATCCATCACTCAGTCTCAGCATTTGTTGAAGGTGCTACATTCAACAGCAGTTAATACAGATGAGGTATCTCCCCTCACACAGAAGATGAAAAGTGTGAGAGGAGCTCTGCTGGGAAACCCAGTGGGTGCTGTAGGTCCACATGGAAAGGGTACATGAGGGGTGGGGATTAGAAAGGGTGGCCTTGGAAGAGGTGACAATTAAGCTGAGACCACACAAATGCTCAAAACAGAATTGAGTGGGATGATGGTGGGCTCAGGGGAGGGAACGCTGAGGGAAGTGTGTCTTACATGGAAGATATGTGCAAGGATCCTAAGCTGAGAGAGAGCATGTTGTCTTTAGTGAACTAGAGGAAGTGCGTAGTTGTTTGGGTGCCATGTACAAGGATAGAGGTGAGTGAGGCGGCCAGAGGGAACAGCATGGGCCAGGTCATGGGGAAGTCATGGAAACGGGATCCATCTTCATTTCCTTTTCCAGCACCTTAAGCCACATTCCTTCCCAGGGTTTTGCTTTCCCCTTTCAAATACTTTGCAGTTTCCAGTCTTCGGGCAAAATTACTTTTGAGCCTGTGATTGCCTCCTAACTACTATCCCATTACCTTCCTTAGTTGGCTTGACTTCTAGTTGGCTTGTGTCTTCATTGCATTTATTCCAAAGTTCGCTGACATTGGATTTCTGTTCTCATGTAGAGAGCAAGTTTCCTGTTATTACATGCGCTCTCTAGGTCATCTGAAGTGGGACTTCCAGAGGTTTCTGTGCAAGGTTGCCCAATCCTTTAGGGGACAGACATTTCCTCAACTCCTCATTTGTTTTGTTTCATAGTGAAGCTATTTGGGATGAGAAGTTTTTGTTGTGGAATAATCTTTAGACTTGATTATAAAGATTAAAACAGACCTAACTATGAGCCTAAGATTATAAAGTTTAGCAGTTTTGCAAAACTTTTGAATGGTCTTACGTGGTCTTTTGGTTTTCTTTTTATGAAGCGCAGTATCTGTGGTGTCTAGATAACCCAGGTGGAGGAGTAGTTACGGGGTAATTAGTAAAACTGGAGATGCATGGAAAGCGGGTCCAGCAGTAGATGTGGGGCGAGGTCTCTTAAGTGTCCCATCCATTTTACCCTTGTTTTCCATTCTTTCCTTACCCTATCCCACAGGCCTTTCAGGCCCTGCCAGGAGCACTCTAATTCCATCCTTCTTCCATTTCACTTAATTAATAACATTATAAAGGAGAGCAACATTGAGTGCATACCTAAATCCTGGCTTATGGTAAATATTCAGCGCATGTTTTATTAATGGATGAATATAAAAGAAATAAATTCACTCATGTTTCTATGTGGGCTTCCCACTCTCAAACCGTCTAATATTTCATTTCTCCAGATTCTTTTCTCATTTTTGTAGTTGGGAAGTTGAAAATCTGATATTTGAGCTCTTTTGAGAGTGAGTACGAGCCCCTTAGCTCCTGAACTGTCCTCTGCTCAGCGTGCAACACTTTCATGTGATTGCAGGTACTCTGTTCCGCCCGAGCACGGGAAGCGACTGGAGCGCCTTGCCAAAGGTACTGTGTCTCCTCCATAACTGGGTCAGACCCTCCTGTTAGCTCTGTGGTCAGATTCTCATGTGTCCTTTCTCGGCCTGCAGATGGGGGTGAGCCAGACTGCCAGGTTGGTTATCCTACCTGAGCAACTATAGTCAGAGCCTTTTCCCACTTTATCCTGAGAAGGGACTTAGTAATTCCTTCTTAGACTGTCTTTGCCTCAGTTTTATCAAGCATAGATTTGACCAGAGATAGTATACCAGTCATAGTGGGTTTGATTCTTCTGCCAGAAACCCAGATTTAGTCAAAATTGAATTATCTTATGCTTTGATTCTTTTAAGTGAACTTTGATAGATTTATTCCTCTAGAGGGCCCATTTCAAGAGAGCTCAGGCAGTCTGTTCTGTAGTAGATGTGTTACTAACAAAAGACTGAGGATACAGGTGAATGGAGAAAGGTGCTAAATAGTTTCAGAGCTCTTTATAAGAAAGGAGGTTGATTGGGTCCTCTCCGTTCCTCAAACAGAATTTGATTACCCATATAACATCCTACCTGGGAGAGCCCAGAGGCTCATTGTAGAATCTTAGAATTGGTCTGAAGCTAGAAGGGGGATTCATGGAGATCACATTGGTGGTTTATCCTTCTTACTGTCCAGATGAGATGCACATGTGTAAAATAAAATGATGATAGGGTTACAGAGGTAGTGTGGAGCAATATTAACGTGTGCCTATTTTCCATTAAACAGGCTTTTTTCCAGGAAGTGCTCAAAGCTGTGAGGCCTTTCTCCGCCATAAGATGACCTTGATTTCCCCCTTAATGCTGAAGAAATATGGTATTCCTTTCGACAAGGTGAGCTGATTGTACATATAGAGGTCCTCAGTCTCACACAAAAACCACCCTTTCTGGTCTGTGTTTCATTCTAGTTCATTACTCTGCCAGGTGCAGGCCAAAGCTAACTTGTACAACAGCACTTTGATCTCAGGGAACTAAAGGTGGGGGCTACTGTACCTTCCTGCTGGTACCAGAGGAGAGTCACATCCGCCTGAACAGGGCTCCTTCGGAAGGTGGTTATCATAGTCACGGCAATTGCTATGCTAGGGCTTTGCATTTTATAGAAGACACCAAGACCCCAGTGATTTTATATTTTATGACTGACCCTTGGCCATTGAGTTAAGTTGAGGCAGAGTGGGAGCCAGAGTTCCAGTTCTGTCGGCTTCTGTGGTTTGATGCAGCTGCTTCAAGTCTGCTCTTATTCAGGTGACTCAGGAAGCCGGAGAGTTCATGATCACTTTCCCTTACGGTTACCATGCTGGCTTTAACCATGGCTTCAACTGTGCGGAGTCGACCAATTTTGCCACCCGCCGGTGGATTGAGTATGGCAAACAAGCAGTGCTCGTAAGTTTGTTGGCTTCTCTGTCCTACCATGCCTCAGGATGTCTGGTTCTTGTTAGGTGATCTGGCAGGTGATTAGAACTTTTCTTTGAACTTTTGGAATTCAGAAACCAAGTGGCTGGGGGAATGTGCAGAAGCGCCCAATGTTTTGTGTTCATTGAAAATTTGTTCAGATTTAGAATGTACAAAGTGAGGTTTTCATGCTTAAGTCCATTGGGCATTAAAACCGCACCCACAAACACTGATATTTCTTGCTGTAGCCACTCTGGGATTTCTTTGTTGAGAAATTCTTAGGGGTTTACTTTTACTGGTGGGAAGCAGCAGGGCTGGACCTTTGATCAGGAGTAGACTTGCTTGTATGGTCCTGGCTTGGATAGATATTAAGGGAAGGTGGCTGTTGACCCTCCTGGGTCTGAGTGCACAGCTTCATCTCTAATGGTTCCCCACACATCCTGTTAGTGCATTCTCCGCCCTTTTTCCCTGCTTCCCTCCATATCTGAAGGCTCTGCAAGGACAATACGCCTTCAGCCTGGGAACCCGAAGAGTTTGGCTTTAAACTGTCTTGTACATTTTTCCACCAAAAGGGAGATGGCTCTGGGGGTCAGGTGGAAGCAGTTCAAGTGTGCTCACCTGGAGCCCTTCTGGTTCCCTGTGACAGTGCTCCTGTAGGAAGGATATGGTGAAAATCTCCATGGATGTGTTTGTGAGGAAGTTCCAGCCAGAAAGGTACAAACTCTGGAAAGCTGGGAAGGACAGCACAGTTATTGACCATACTCTGCCCACGCCAGAAGCCGCCGAGTTTCTTAAGGAGAGCGAACTGCCCCCAAGAGCAACAAATGAGGAGGAGTGCCCTGAGGACATGGAAGGGGTTGAGGATGGAGAGGAGGGCGACCTGAAGAGAAGGTAACCTGGCAGCCCTTGGGGTCCAGCTGTTTGAGAAAGGGATGCCGGGGCAGCTCCCCGTAACCTGCTGAGAGGCTGTTTCTAAGTGGGGTGTATGAGTCACAGCTGAGGGAATTTTCTTCTTGGTAAAGGCTCCAGAATCCTCAGAGTGAGGGCATTCAGACCCTCCTTGTGGCCGTTCCCCAGGAATGATCGCACCGGTTGGTGAGCCTGTGGTCTGCCTAGAGTAAGGGGCACCCACACCAGGGCACAGCTCCCTCAGAGCAAGAAAAGTCTCATTTTCTCGTCATCGTATGAGAGCTTTTTAAAAATTTATTTATTTTTCATCCTCACCCAAGGACATTTTTTTATTGCTTTTAGAGCAAGAGGAAGGTGGGGGCGGGGAGAGAAAGAAAGAGAAAGAAACATTGATTGGTTGTCCTCTCATATGCACCCCTACCAGGGTCAAACCTGTGACCTCGGTATGTGCCCTGACTGGGAATTGAACCAGTGACCTTTTGGCCTGTTGGATGATGCTCCAACCAGCTGAGCCACACTGGCCAGGGCTATGAGAGCTCTTTAATAACAAAGAAGAATGTGGTGCTGACTTCGGCAGCACATATACTAAAATTGGAATGATGATACGCAAATTAGCATGGTCCCTGTGCAAGGGTGACATGCAAATTTGTGAAGCATTCCAGAATTTAAAAAAAAAAAAAAAGGAGAATGTGGTGGCGGGAATGAGACTCACAAGAGCAAAGAAACGGTGTATTGACATTGGCCAGCCTCATCAGGGTCTGTCCTCGAAGGACCATTTATCCGGGGTCATGTAGGGAAGAAAGGAGAGACATTTTGGGGGTGCCAGCTTTATGCCAGGTGCTTCCTTAGGTCATCTGGTCCTCAAGTCTGAAGTGGGTGGTGATACCCCTATTTTCCACTTAATGGAACAGGCTCAGAGGTGAAGTCCCTTGTCTCAGGTCTCACAAATTAGGGGCAGCACAGACCTGTGAAGTAGGCATGACAGGCTCTGGCTGCTCACTTTCAGGTTGTGTGTGGATATGTTCGTGTAAGCGGATGAGTATCTTAAAAAGCTTCCTCTCCTCCTTGCAGCCTAGCCAAGCACCGTATAGGCACAAAGAGACACCGAGTTTGTCTTGAAATACCACAGGAGGTCAGTCAGAGTGAGCTCTTCCCCAAGGAGGAGCTGAGCTCCGGGCAGTACGACATGGCTGAGTGCCAGGCTGCCCTTGCTCCCGTGAGGCCCACCCATAGCTCCGTGCGGCAAGTCGAGGATGGTCTTACCTTCCCAGGTCAGTTGATGACGGTGTTTTTTATCCCTCAGCCCTAACTGTGTTCTGTTCTGTGTCCGATGCGATCTTCAGTGCAGGGTCACAAATAAGAAAAAGGGGAGAGACAGGTCTGAGGGCGAGGGGCGCTTCGGTGAGGAGCACAGGGGAGCTTTGCCTGGTGCGGGGCCAGGGGAGTACCGAAGGCTTTGGTGAAGTGGCAGTGAACCGACTCTTACGAGAACAGTAGTAATTTTGCAGGCAGGCGGAGTCGGGGACATAGGAAGGGGATCCCTGAGAGGACTGGCAGCAGCGAAGGCGTGGAGATGTGAAAGGACGCGAGTTATTTGGGGAGCCGGTAGTGACTTCCTGTAATTTCAGTATGTGAGCAGAAGGATAGGAGGCAGGTGTGTTTTCAGGAGACAGGGCTAGAGAAATAGAAATGCGATGATGTAGGGACTGCCTGCCATCTTAGGTTTGTGCACCCAGAGGCTTGGGAAGCCATTTGTATTTCAGGAGCGGGTGAGGTGTGTGGTCACAGTGTTCTCTACAGCAGTCACTTGGACGGTTGTTGAGGGTAGATTTGTTGGGGAGGGGCTTTTATCAGTCCCCAGTTGGGCTTGAAGAATCTCTGTATTGATGATACCTTGTCAGTACCTCAGCTAAGAGCCAGACAGCACTGGACTGGGACCCTGGGGCTGGGCTGCCTCCTGTTCAGATTTTCTAGCCTAGGGGTGGGTGCTGGGTCTCTCCCAAGCTCAGACTTTCCTTTCCTGTAGGAGACTCTGGGAAACTTGCAGCTGTCACTTACTGTGTGTCTGCAGTGTGCCTGGCTATGTTCCATCTTACACGCAGAAGACAAAACAGGAGTCCCAGGGAGGATAAGCAGTGAGGCCCTCATCACACAGTGACCCTGCATGTGGTAGAGTCAGAATTCGAGGCCGGGCTTCACTCGCTGCTCACGTTCTTTGTGCTTGACCACTCTGCCTTTCACGGAGTTCAGACGTGTGGGAGAAAGTCAGCTCTGTCCAATGTGTATCTGTGTTTCAGATTATTCTGACTCCACTGAAGTCAAATTTGAAGAGCTTAAAAACGTCAAACTAGAAGAGGAGGATGAAGAGGAGGAGGAGGAGGAGGAACAAGAAGCGGCTGCCTTGGATCTTTCTGTGAATCCTGCCTCTATAGGGGGGCGCCTTGTCTTCTCGGGTTCCAAAAAGAAATCATCTTCTAGCCTGGGCTCCAGCTCATCCCGGGATTCTGTTTCTTCCGATTCAGAAACCAGTGAGCCTCTGTCCTGCCAAACCCAAGGGCAAACGGGAGTTCTCACTGTGCACAGCTATGCCAAAGGGGATGGCAGGGTCGCTGGGGGAGAGCCGTGCACAAGGAAGAAGGGGAGCGCCACCAAGAGTATCAGCGAGCGGGAGCTAGCGGAGGTACGGGCTGCCTGGAATGGAAAGGGGTCCTGCGGCGTGGGGGTGCTGCGGTGTGCGAGCGGGCAGGAGAGACCCTTTGGGTGGACCTCCCACCTGCCACTATGTTGAGCTGAAGGCCAGGTGGCATTGGCTCACTACCAGAAAGGAGTTCCTTTCTCTTATTTCTGTGTGACTGTTCCAAAGGATGGCCTTGCAGACTCTGAGACAGTGGCAGATCAGTTGGATGTGTCCTCTGACCCTCCCTGCCTCAGAGGCCCGAGGGTTAGAGTGACAGCAGTTGCAACCCAGGTATTTGAGCGTTGGGGATGAGATGGCCTTCCCTACTCTAAAACTCAAGGGTTTTTTCCTTACAAAGTATGTCTGCCCTGTGACTCCCATTAGAAATCAACCTCCGCTTCTCCCCTGCCCGGACCCCCCATATGATTCTTCATCTCCCAGAATTACAGTGTGATAAGGAGTGTCCTTTGGAGACCAGGGTGAATTCCCAAAGCTGTAAATGTGAGCATGTTTATTCAGGCTTCCTCCTAGAAAACTGTCGCCAAAAGCTGTTTTCTGTTGGTTTTGGTGGATCTGAGTGCGATAGAGCAGAGCTTTGTTGGATGCAGCTGGACTCCCACCTACCCAAGTGACCTGCCCTTCCTCCCCAGCCTCATAGCTTACGTGGGTCAAGTCGCGGCCTTGGATGGGGGTGGGTGGACAATAGAAGTCACTGAAGAAGGTCTCTTTTATTTCCCATCCCCTTATCTTACTTTTGAGAAATTTATCTTTTAAAAGTTGTTATGAAATATTTCTAAAGTATATTCACCTGAGATACCATCACAAGCCCCCTATGTATGTATACTCACTGTGTCCCTTGTGTTTAGTATCCATGTAATTTTCTTGTCTCTGAATCTCAGGGTTCAGTGTCTGTTGGCTTCCTTTTCCCAGATGCCCCTCGCTCCCTCTCACAGTGGATGCCGCCCATGAGCTGGTGCCCGCCGCTGTGTCTCCTCCTCATTGCTTCTGATTGCTGCGCGCGCTCGCTCGCTCTCTCTCTCTCTCTCTCTCTCTCTCTCTGGCATCTCCCACAAGAGAGGGCTTTTCAGCTTGAAAACTGGAATCCCTGACACTCCCCGTTGCCCCATCCGAGCCGTTCTTCCTTCACAAGCTCTGTGCTCTCTTGTGCATCCCGCTGTCACACGACAGGTCATGCTGTGCCTCTCTTGCCATGTCATCTTGACTTTCTTGCCTCTAGTTGCCACAAGAGCAGCTAACAATAGCAGGGACTTACTATATGTTAAAAATTTCATATGCATTATTTAGGCTATATATTACTGCTTAATTGATACGACACATAAGAAGCTCAGAGCGTCACTTTATACCAGTTTAAAACGATTGAAGAAAGTCGATTTTAATCTGTGGCCAAATGGCCCTGCTGCTCATTCACTCTCAATGAGACAGGTTATCTATCTAGTCACAGGCAGTCCTGGAGGACACAGGTCCCTCTCACTGCCGCAGTGTTTCCCACTCATCTTCCATGTATTGTGGATGCCGCAGACCAGAATGTACTCCTGCCAAAGACAGATCCCAGCTAAGTGAGGCTCGCTAACATCCCAGGGCCAGGGAGAAAAGCCAGGAATCCCTGCGTGGGGAAATCGCTGGAGGAGATCGCATGCTTCTCTCATTCAACCCCTGCTCAAGAACCATTGAGTGCCTTTCTGGCTCCTTCCCTCCTCCTCCCCCTCCCTCCCCTCCATCCCCCTCCCTCCCCCTCCCGCCCCCTCCCTCCCCCTCCCTCCCCCTCCCCCTCTCCCTTCTCCCCTCCTCTCCCCTCCCCCTCCCCAAGATTTTATTTCATTGATTTTAGAGAGAGGGGAAAGGTGGGAGAAAGAGAGGGAGAGAAACATTGATCAGTTGCCTCTAACAAGGGGACCTGGCAAATAACCCAGACATGTTCCCTGACTGAGAATCGAACTGGCGACCTTTTGGTCTGGAGGCTAGTTCTCATTCCGCTGAAACACACCAGTCAGGGCTCCCTTTTATTTCTGTACTGATGTCTTAGCTGTTGTGTGCTGGTGATACCCTTCTTCACTCCACACCAACCATCTCTTCCTCTGCCCCACTTCATATGGTGGCATCTTTGAGCTACCATATTTTGCGTGTATAATGCACTTCCATGTATTATGCCAACCCATGATTTTGGCCCAAACTTTCAGGAAAAATACCTTTCATTTTAATTTTTTAATTCAATTATCTATTTATATTTCAAATCAAAACCAATTACCGTATTTCAGGGTATTAACTTGCATACAGATATCGCTATTGCTTTCTAGAGTTACACTTTTGACGCATGAGCATAAAAGAATTAAAAACATTTATATAGATAGGGAATTAGTACTACCCATGTATAGTGTGCATCCTTATTTTTCCCTCAAAAATTTGGGCAGAAAAGTGCACATTATACATGGCAAGATATGGTACTTCAAATTCTCTAAAAATACCTTGGCTGCCTACCTCTTTGCTTCACGCTGTCATGCATACTCGGAGCTAGGACAGTGCCTTCAAGGAGCTTACAGGCTAGATGACTGGACAGATGTGAGCAGATAATCCTGGTACTTGGTGATCCACACTGTGGCACAAGTGGAAGAGTTAACAGCTCACCCTGGGGTTGGGCTGAGGCGTTCAGGGAAACTGCAGAGAAGGAAGCATTTGAGCTAGGTCTGAGGGTGGTAGGAATATGCCGGGTGGGAGAGGGGAGTGTTCTACGTGGGGTGGCAGCTCATGCCAAGGTCAGAGCAGGGCGGGGGGTGGGCAGGGGTCGTGTACAGTGGCTCCGTTTGCCTCAGGCGTGTGTGACTGGGGAGGCCCCAGGAGGTGTTGGTAGAGTGTGAGTCAGGACCCAGATCGCGGAGGCTCTGCTTTGTGAAGCAGTTTGAGTTTAGAGTTGTGGTCGGGAGCAGTGGGAGGTTCCCAGCCATGTAGTTTTGGAGATTGAAGATAAGATACATT